GGTATTTCTTTCGATCCTCTCTGGCCGAATCACCAGCTTCGCCACAACTCTTAGTCTGGCGATTGATGTACGCAAGACGAAGTTCCTGACTAAGCATCTTGGCATAGCACAACCACTGTTTATCAGCGGTTAACCGATCGACAAAGTTAGCTGCTTCCGCTATTTGGGTTCGAATAGGCTGGCCAACGGGCAAGCCAAAGAAGAAATCAAGAACCGAATCGCGCATGCTCAAATGCATTTAGGTCGCTAGCCAGAACACTTTGGTCTCGCTCAGACATCAGCTTACGTACTAAGCTGCTGATATATGGAGCATCAATCAGATCGGTGTTAGTATATGCTTGCGAAACATGGCCTGTCAGGAGGGCAAACATCCTATCACTCGAAGTCTTTGACCGTTGTTGTCTTCGACGCATCTTAAGAGGCTTCTGGCAGGATCGCATTTCCAATGCCGAGCTATATCGCAGCAGTTTCAAACTACTAAGTCTAGCATCATACGTCCAGCATCTCCGATTGCAATGGTTTGGCCATGTCCTGCGCAAACCATCTGTAGATTAGCCGTGAATCCCGCAAGTAGTGCAAACTGGAGATACCGACATGGCGGTCAACTGAAGACGTGGCTCAACACTGCCAAGTCGGACGTCGAACGCATGGGCCTCGTAACTCCTTACGGCTTGCGACACTGGAACAAACACTGGGTTAACATTTGCGAGGAGCTCGATTCCAATGGTCACCAATGGGCCGCCGCTATCCGTGACATCCGTGAAGCCGATTCATCCAACAACAGGAGCTGATCGGGTCAAATACAAGTACAAAAGTACTCACACACCTGAATCAAATGTCAAGACAAAGTCAAGAAGAAGCATTTTTTCGGAAAAACTGTAAACAAGGCATAAGCAACCAGATTCGCTAGATTTAATGACGTCATTAAATCCTATGAATTTCGTTGCATTTACTTTGTTCAAAAGCCAAGAAGACCGGAGATGGGATATGGCGAGACCGACGGCTTTCAGAAGTGCGGGTAAACACATCCTTTACGCTTGGATTGGCATATTTTACTGTCCTCTTCTGAAGACAGCAGTATCGGAGAGGGTGAATTTATGTACTTGCCAGTTAGAACCTCAGCATGGTCCCGAAATTCTAGAAAAGTCTTTCTCGCATTCATTGGAGAAATATTGCCAAACTTAAATGCTATCTAAACGAAAATAGTCTCGCTATCTTGAGAAAAAAAACGAAAAAGACTTGACAGGAAAAAGCGGACATATCAGCGAATGTTAACCGTGTGGGAATAGTGAACTTCGAGTATGTTTTTTTAGCAAAACACTACAGGATGGCGTATATACGAGCGGAACTCCAGACTTTGCGGTCGAAAAACCAGGTAACGTGACCATTAAAGGATAGCTGCGTTCAAATCTGATCTAAAAACTATTAGACTACCTGAACATTCATCAACGAAGGTGTAAATATTTAAGTTTAGCGTACATAATAACACTACGGAAGAAGGGCAAAAAGTGCTGAATCACCGGACTTAAAATAAAGACAGTGAAGTTCAACATACCGGTCAACCACATCAGTTTCATTACCCCTGAAGCTTTCGGAGGTTAGATGTTCCAAAGTCCAACGTGGTATACGCGTACGTCGGTCATACAACAGTAAAAACCCAGGGAGGATCTTCACGGGTTCCGCAGTTGGAAGGCCAACGTATGCGACGGCGTCAGGAAGGGGACCATCCTTGCTGAAGGCGGAGGGGTGCGCGTCCGGCTGCAAAAAACTGCTATCTACCGTGTCACCTACCCCACCCACTAAAGTGCGAGAAGCACCAGGTGCGGCTCTGCACAGCGCCATTTTGAATATTGGCCGATCATCATCAAAGGCATTGGGTAGGCCACCGTAGAGAAGAAAACCAGCGCCAGTTGTCAAAGAACCGGCCGTAAATGCGGCCAATCCCGAGAGGAAAAGCCGAAGGCGCCTAGAGTCCACGATCCTCCGCATTCGCAGAACTCACTTCTAAAAAGTGGTGGTGTGTTAAAGTAGAGGTGACAACAATTTGAAACAGACACATGCATGCATCTGATGCATATTCTACGAGCAGTTTACTGGTTCTACGCAAGAAGAATCTCGACCTTGAACCTTCAACCCACATAAATATATCGGTTGGGTAAAGTGCTCAGGACCCATCTGGAAGACCCTAGTGGTGGACCACCCGCGCCATGTGTGCACACACATTTATCTATCCGGCCCCCACCAGCAGCCATAGAGCGGCTAGTAGCATAGAAAAAATAGTATTACCGCCAGACAAGAGAGGTCGGAATGACTATTTCAGACTTATTGGCCGTCATCAGCCAACGACACTCGGCCCCAGATGCCGCAACCCCTGGGGCTCAAAACCGCGACCTACTATCCTTATGTCCAACTTCCTAACCACTGAACCACAGGCTCGTGCTTCTGTTCGTTGAGATTGGGTATATCAACAGTGGGTAGTGGGACGCTTACCGTCATCAACCACCCATACGCAAACCCATGTTTACACCCTCTGATGCTTGAACCCACGTTCTTTTGGTTAAAAACCCGACGCTCTAACCCACGGTGGTCTCCTGCGTATATTACTATTCGCCATGATACCGCCAACGGAGCTCTAGGTTCAGCCCCAAGACACAACACGGAGCAGGTACGTTAGAACGAGCAAGCTAATAAATGCGGAAACTATCAAGTGTAAGACATTAGTTTGTAGTCAGACCCCAAATCTTAACAAACATTTGAGCCAAAGACAATCAACTCCTGTGGGATAATCCTGTATTGCCTATTCTACGAACGCTCAGTATTTATTTCATATGGCAATGTTATTAAGGAGCACCTAGTAATTGAGAAAATATAAGCTTGATTATTCTCCGCAGTTCACACACCAGAAATGACATAGAGAAGGCCGAGGGACCCACTTGAGGATAGAAACCCCACAGCTGTATCGTGTCGCAGCAGTAACATCGGCGAAACACGTGTCTGGGTTTTTACTGTATACCTATATCGGCAGTGCCGTAAAATTCACATACGTACCCCGGTTTGGGTGTGGCTCGCTGGCGACGACAAATAAACCAAAAATGGCTATTCCAACCGCTTCTGGGGATAGTGTTTCCTACACGCATATATATTGACTACGTTGAGAGTTAAAGCGAAGGACCTTCTGAAGGTTTGTCGAGCAACGGTCCTCACAACTTACTCCTGTAGCTGCTGTCAGCATGCAATAGACCGTAGCATAGCGCTGTTAATTTATATCCAAGCGCTACTTGCAAAACACAAGTAACATTTTATGTAAGCGCAAAACAGAGCCCTTTGCAGAAAACAAAGCTGACCACACAAAAAGTCAGCGATGGAAAATAAGATGAATTTTTATTCAGACTGTGAACACTCAGGGGTCAACATAAAATCCGGCTCTGTAAAACTGTACAAAAGATTATCCAAGCAGTTATGTTTCTTAGGACACGGAAAGAGAGCCCAGTTTTGCCTCCAGGGTGCCCAACACATCATCCAGAGCATTCGCGATAAGTGGTGCCTGTGGATGGGCTTCCTTGTGCTGGCTGAGCAGCAGAGCCAAGGAC